CTTGCTATTCTAAATGTGCTTTGTGTATGGCAACATGGGCATCACTGGTTGTTTCTTAGGAATGCAGGATGTCAGATGCCATTCCAGGGCTACAGAATTAGAATCTGCATTTTCATAATATCCCTAGGTTTGTGTATGCACATTAGAGTCTGAGAGATACTGATCTAGAACTGACTTTGCCTTTCCTTAGCTTAGTTTGAGATACAGCTGTTACAATAATTAAACCTTCCAGGTAATTACCTATTTTTATTTCTCTATTTATCTTAGATTTTTGTGTAAACTTCAGAACAAATAGCTGGAAGTATTGTAAGTGATGGAGAATGGGGAGGCAACTCTAGCTAGAACAGTCATGAGAGTCCTCTGTAAGCAGGTAGTGTGTGAATTGAGGCCTGTACAACAAAGTGGGCCAGACATGTGAAGACCCAAGGAAGAAACATTTGGGCAGAAGCAACAACAAATGCGCAAGCATGAAGGCCAGACAGGGCATGTATAAATAGTATGTGAGTAGGAGTGCTATGGTGAACTTGAAAGTGCTATTAGAAGCCTTCTTCAGAGTCAGGGTAAACCACTGAGCCTGCCATATAAGGCCTCCTGCTATCATCTCCTGAAGCTGTCCCCAAATACTTTTAATACTCTAGTCTCCAGTCATACCAAAGTCTTCTACCATACCTCACCTTTGTTAACCTTTGCCAAGAATGTGTCTTGGTATATTCTGTGCCTCCTGCCTACTAGTCAGCGTTTAAATTTTTAGATCAGGCTTTGTCACGTATGTGAGACCTGCATGCCTTCCAGCAGACTTTGTCTCCTTAGTTGGAGACATTGCCCCTTATGTATATCGCCTTATGCTAAAATTGATACTCCATGTTATAATTAAGATTTATCCATGTTGAGGGGCGCCTGGGTGGCGCAGTCGGTTAAGCGTCCGACTTCAGCCAGGTCACGATCTCGCGGTCCGTGAGTTCGAGGCCCGCGTCAGGCTCTGGGCTGATGGCTCAGAGCCTGGAGCCTGTTTCCGATTCTGTGTCTCCCTCTCTCTCTGCCCCTCCCCCGTTCATGCTCTGTCTCTCTCTATCCCAAAAATAAATAAAAACGTTGGAAAAAAAAAAAATTAAAAAAAAAAAATCGATTACATATATGTGTATACAGACACACGTACACACATAAATCAAGTCATGCTGTAAAATGTTTCTCTGGGTCATGGCTGAATATGTTTGAAAAACACACAAAGAAACTAATACATGTATATTTAAGAAGCTTGTACCAAAAAATTTATAGCAGCATGGTTTCTAAATAACTGGAAATAACTTATATGTTCACTAGTATGATTATCTCACCATACAATTTGAAAATGAATAACCTGCATGTATCAACATGGATAAATCTTTTTTTTTTTTTAATTTTTTTTTTCAACGTTTATTTATTTTTGGGACAGAGAGAGACAGAGCATGAACGGGGGAGGGGCAGAGAGAGAGGGAGACACAGAACCGGAAACAGGCTCCAGGCTCTGAGCCATCAGCCCAGAGCCCGACGCGGGGCTCGAACTCACGGACCGCGAGACCGTGACCTGGCTGAAGTCGGACGCTTAACCGACTGCGCCACCCAGGCGCCCCTGTAATCGATTTTTTAAAAAAGTTGAACAAAACTATATTTACCCTTTGTGTGATGAACTTAAATCTTTCTTCCTTCTCTTCTAAAAATAAGTACTTATTGAGATTAATGAGTTGTGACGTGCCATATAAAATAGCTGCTGTAGGGTATGTTATATGTGAGTGTGTATGTGTACTAAATATGCCATATTACATATATAGCTTGGTAAACCTATGTGTATGTGTATCTAAGCATGTATGAATAGATTGCCTTGTAGAAGGGTTTATTCATCTAGAACTTTTATTGGATTTCACCAAATTGTTTTTTAAGTGGTTATACCTATTTATACTTGGCTTGGCCTCCTCACTCTGGGAACTTAGCTTTTTCCCTTTGTGTCTATGGTCTTACAATAGCATTTACTTGGCAGAGTTGGTAAGTACTCATTGAATAGTTTGGTGAATGAAAATTAGGATTTCATACCAGTACTTGAATGACTGCCATGCTGAACAGTTATTATTTTATCAATTTTAGGTAAATTTTACAAGTCCAGTGTTATAGAGTGAATAACCCAATTGTAATTTTGGTTAGGCTTTTAAAAGTCTATTTTTGGTAGTCCCTGGGTGGCTCAGTCAGTTAAGCTTCTGACTTCAGCTCAAGTCATGATCTCACAGCTCAGAGTTCGAACCCCATGTTGGGCTCTGTGCTGATAGCTCAGAGCCTGGAGCCTGCTTTGGTTTCTGTGTCTCTCTCTTTTTCTGCCCCTCCCCCACCCACTGTTGCTCTCTCTCTCTCTCTCAAAAATTAATAAACATTAAAAAATTTTTAAAAAGTCTATTTTTGAAGGTCCCTGACTATATTAGTTAAAATGTGATAACTGTATTCCAAAGAAAGATGCATTGACAAAATTGCATTATTATTTCAATTGGTAAAAAACGATTGGGGCTAACATTTCCAGTAAGTGATAGCTGTTTATTTTTTCCTTGCAGGAATCAATAAAATGGTTTTTTATAGTTGTATGAAGCTGTGTAAAACCTGAACATCAGTTAACATTTAATTATATCTCGCTTTTTGTTCAATAGTAAATGGCCATTTTTTTCTATTACTGCTAGCATGATTCTTGTACAGTGCTTTTATACATTTGATCCCTTTGTCATCTTTGGTTATTGTAGAATGCACCACTCTGTTTGGTGCTACAACTTTTTACCTGTATGGACAGTTACTATCACATTGTGCAATTGATGCTTTCTAATTCATTCAGTCATAACATTTGCTGCATCAAAAAAAATTGTGCTATAGAGAAAAGTCTCCATTTATATTTGGCTGTGAGTCTAACATATTCTGAGGGGAATCATTCTATTTTAAGAACAAAAATGAACGAAGCCACACTTGGAGAGTGTTGAAAATCTTTTCCCATCAGCTCTGGACTCACTGCAGTTTTGGGAGTTGTCTTTTTCTAGAGGAGGAAAGTATTGCATTTTGATTTTCAAAGTTTCTTAGTATGACAATAACTTGCACTTCAGTAGTGCTTTAAAACTTTCAAAGTATTTTCCATACAAGACTCACCTAAGAATGAGGCAGCCAATGTTGACTATACTTAACATATGAGAACCTTGTTGAGAACCTTGTTACTAGTCCAGGAAAGTTTATGCAGTTCACTGGTGGCAGAGTAGGTTGAATACGGGTCTTTTGGTTTCTAATTCATTTCGATGCTGTTAGCCATCAAACATTTAAATAGAATATATCCTAGATGTTTCTCAGGTTATAGGTATCATTTCTGAAATTTAAAAGCAGGATATTTTGGCATAAATTGTACATGCGTAAACTACCTCTTAAGGAATTTTCGAGAGGAATGTGTGTAGTTTTACTGCATTGTAATTACTGAGTTTGGTGTTATTTTGTAGATTTAACTTTCACCTTTAGATAAAAAGTATGCACTTAAAACAGAAGTCTAGGGGCGCCTGGGTGGCGCAGTCGGTTAAGCGTCCGACTTCAGCCAGGTCACGATCTCGCGGTCCGTGAGTTCGAGCCCCGCGTCAGGCTCTGGGCTGATGGCTCGGAGCCTGGAGCCTGTTTCCGATTCTGTGTCTCCCTCTCTCTCTGCCCCTCCCCCGTTCATGCTCTGTCTCTCTCTGTCCCAAAGATAATAAACGTTAAAAAAAAAAAAACAAAAAATTAAAAAAAAAACAGAAGTCTAACGTTTTAAAAAGCTTGGTTTTTATTGATACCTCTTACTGTATATAGTTTTTTCATAATCAAGTGATTTATAAAAATCAATTAAGTATATGTTTCTGAATAGTTGACATAATTGCCAGATACTACTTTTATTTTTCCATTTTTACTTTAATTATATAAGCAATATATGAAAATAATCATAAGTATATTTAAAATTATTGAGAAAATACATTCAAAGATATAAAGAATAGTATAGCTAGGGCTTTGTATTCTTGTATCCTTAATGTAAATTTCTGTACAATTTTTTTCAGAATTTTTTAACCATGATCCAAAGAACTGATATTTCATAACATACCTTAGTTCATATATAACCTTTCTTAAATCAGGGTTATATTTGGGATTTATCCATTTATAGACTTCTTGAGGCAGATGTTATTGTCCCTCATTCTTTCTAACAGTTGATTAAAAAGTTTTCCCAATGTGTTGAATGTAAAATGGGGGTTGTTGTAGTTTTAAAGGGCATTTTCCCTAACTGCTAGTGAGATCATGCATATTTTTATACGTTTACTGTCCATATATTTCTTCTTATGTGAATTACCCATTCATATCTTTTTGTATGTTTTTCTTTTATGTTGGTTGTCTATTTCTTACTAATTTCTACATTTCATTGAAAACTCCTTAATTTATATTTGTTGGCAGTCTTTTTTTTTTTTTTTTTTTT